GATAAATCTCATATGCATTAGTTTAAGTATTTAAAAACTTAAGTCACTTAGAAAAGAATCAATATGACATTATGGAAGGCAACAATAAAAACATCTTACACTACACCACAATAGCTAAACTGTGGAACCAACCTAGATCCCCTTCAGTAGATAAATAAAGAAAATTTGATATATATAAACAATGAAATATTGCTCCACAATAAAAGAGAATAGAATCATGGCATTTGCAGGTAAATGAATGGAATTGGAGAATATAATGCTAAATGAAGTTAGCCAATCCCCCCAAAAAAATGCCAAATGTTTTCTCTGTTACAAGGAGGCTGATTCATAGCAGGGTTGGGACGGGGAGCATGGGAGGATTAGATGATCTCTAGATAGGGCAAAGGGTTGGGAAGGTAAGGGAGCGGGGATGGGGGTAGGAAAGACAATGGAACGAGATGGACATCATTACCCTAAGTACACGTATGAAGACATGAATGGTGTGAATATACTTTGTATACAACCAGAGATATACAACAAATTAGAATTTAAAAATTTTACACTAAAAATAAAACAATTTGTTGTAGTTTTAACCATTTTGGTAAAGTTAAATTAGATGTAATAAACTGCTGCATTTTGACCCTTAACTGTTTTGCTAATGAAAAGGAACTGCAAAGTTGTATACCGTTCCTTCTAATTTCTAGAATTTCAGTTGTTGAACTGTTGCAACTGAATTAACAGTTTCAGAAAGCTACCAACAATTTTTGTTTGGTTGTTTTTTTTCGGGGGGGTTACATATTGACCCAAAGTGCTCTACCTGCTAAGGGACATCCCCAGTCCTTTCTAGTTTAGTATTTTGAGGCAGGGTCTAGCTAAATTGCCTTGAACATGTGATCCTTCCTGGCTCATCCTCTGGAGTTGCAGGGATTATAAGTGTGAACCAACACCAGTGTTAACTGACTAGTCATGTAATAATACCAGGATAACTTAAAACAAAAGCAGGTCTTTTGAAGAAAATAAATGGACATGTTGACACTGAATCAAGAAATATCAACAAAGCACATTTGGCCCTCCCATATCTATCAGTTCCGCTTCTGCAAACTCAACCAGCCTCAGATTGAAAATATTTGAAAAAAAAGCACTTGTGTTTGAAAAAGTACAGACTTTTTTCCTTGTCATTTCCCTTAAACAATGTAGTCTAACAAGTATTTTATACAGTTATGTCCACTATAGTCATTTAAGTAATCTAGTGATTTAAAGTACATGGGAGGATATGTGAAGGTTATTTGACACTGACACTACATTATCTTATATAAGGGACATGAACATCTGAAGATTTGGGTATCAGTGGGGGGGGGTCCTGAAACAAAACACCAAGTATATCAAGTAAGGGACCACTGATTAAAGCCTACTTATGCTATTTTTAGAGTCCCAAAGAAGTCTATAGTTTCTATCAAAACTCAAATAATTAGGGGCTGGGGTTGTGGCTCAGTGGTAGCTGCTCAGTGGTAGCGCACTTGTCTGGCATGTGTGGGGCACTGGGTTTGATCCCCAGCACAACATAAAAATAAATAGATAAATAAAATGAAAGTATTGTGTCCATCTACAATTAAAAAAAAAACTCAAATAATTAGCAACAAAAACTCTCAGATAAAAGATACATGATAAAAATTTTGAAACATCAAAATTACAGATCAAATCACGCATATTGGCAAGTAATACAGCAAAGCAAACCAAACTAGAAACAAAAATATAATTAACAATGTCAACAGGATCATATGTTAAGTCAGAATGTACCATGCCAATTTATTATATATTTCTCCCAAACTTAACCAATACATTGAGCATTTATATGTGAAACTCTATGCTATGCAACTTCATACACACATATATAATAAAAAGATTCTCTAATACTCACAAAACAAAAACATGACGTAGAAGGAACAAAAATAATAAACAGTTCTGTTCTTTATCCTAATATTGTTGCCTTTGCACCAGGAATACTAAGAACACCTTAACTGATGAGCCCTAAGCCTCAATCCCCCACCATTCCCTCATTTCTAATACATTTTGTCTTCGAGTAAATGTTTTCCTAACATTTTCATCATGTAATTCTTCTATTCAACAACCTATAATAATTCTCTTCTATATAATTATTTCTCTCTCTCTCTCTCTCTCTCTCTCTATATATATATATATATATATTAATATAAATATATATATTTAATGTCAGAGGTGATTCTTTCGGTCCAGACAAGTTGAAGAGGCACTAGGAAGTTCTGCCCTAGACATTCTATCAGTTAAGAGATTTACTTGGATTAATAAATGCTTTTTTAAAATGCAAACATCTACCACAAGGGTCAGGATTACTCTTCACTCAAATTTACACATTAAGTCAGGTGTGGTAGCACATACCTATAATCCCAGCAACTCAAGGGGTTGAGGCAGGAGGACTGCAAGATCAAGGACAGCCTAGGCAATTTAGAGAGACTGTCTCAAAATTAAAAGGGCTGGGGAGGTAGCTTAATAGTGAAGCACCCCTGGGTTTTACCCTCAGTACTGCCAAAAAAAGGTCGGGGGGCTGAGAGAGCATCCCTAAATCCAATCCCTATTACTACCAAAGAAAATGCAATGCAGTTTTAAGAAACAAGAAAAAAGGGATTTTTTTTTTTTTTTTTTTAATTTGGTAGTACAAGGTATTGAACTCAGGGGCACTCCATCACTTAGTTACATCCTGAACCCTTTTTAATTTATTATTATTTTTTCCTTACTGAAAATTTTTATTCATATTTGACAAATATTTCTCTTTCCACTTTTTCTTGATACATTATGTTGCATATAATGATGGGATTTATTGTTACATATTCATATCTGCACAAAATATAATAATATTATTTGGCCAATATCATTCCCTAGCACTTTCCCCCTCCCTCCCCACCTCCCACCTTGTGGTCCCTTTCATGAGATAAGCCCTCCCTCACTCCTTTCTTCCCCTTTTTTCCTCTCTAGCTTTCATATGAGAGAAAACATACGACCATTAACGTTCTGAATTTGGCATATTTCACTTAATATAATGGTGTCTTTTTCCTGCAAATGACATAGTTTCATTTTTCTTTTTGACTGAATAAAACTCCACTGTGTGTGTGTGTATGTATATGTATGTGTATGTGTGTGTGTGTGTGTGTGTGTGTGTGTGTGTATACATATATATATATCACATTTTCTTTATCCACTCATCCATTAATGGATACCTAGGCTGGTTCCATAGTTTGACTTCTGTATTGCTATGAACATGGGTCTGCATGTATCACTACAGTGATGATGACTTTAATTCTTTAGGATAAATGCCAAAAATAAGGAACCCTTCATGAATTTGCATGTCATCCTTGTGCAGGGGCCATGTTAATCTTCTCTGTATCCTTCCAATTTTTGTATATGTGCTGCCAAAGTGAGCACCTTTTTATTTTATTTTAAGACAAGTTTCCCTAAATCATGAACTTGCAATCCTCTTCCACCGGTTCCTGAGTGGCTGGGATTACAGGTATACACTATACCCAGCTAGACTTTCATAGTTCCCCCCCTTTTTTTTTCCCATCCTAGTACTAGAGATTGAAACCAGGGGCATGTTTTAACCACTAAGCTTCATCTCCAGCCCTGCTCCTTTTGAAATATTCTTAGTTGTAGATGGACATAATATCTCTATTTCATTCATTCACTTCTTATGTGGTACTGAGGATTAAACCCAGTACCTAATTCTGGGTTTAATTAAGTGGTGGAGGGAGCGTTCTACCACTGAGCCACAATCCCAGCACCCCAGCCTTTTTTTATATTTTATTTAGAGACAGGGACTCACTAGTTGCTTAATGCTTTGATAAATTGCTGAGGCTGGCTGTGAACTCATGATCTTCCTGCCTCAGCCTCCCAAGCCGCTGGGATACAGGCATGTGCTACCATGCCTGGCTTAGACTTTTGTATTTCTTATGTGTTTATTACCTCTACTAAAACTACAAATTTATTTTAATTTTAATTTTTTATTTTATTTTATTAATTTTTTTTTTTAGCTGTCAATGGACCTTTATTTTATATGTGGTGCTGAGAATCAAACCCAGGGCCTCACATTGCTAGGCAAGAGTTCTACCACTGAGCTACAATCCAGCCCTAATTTTTTATTCTATTAATTTATTTTTAAAATTTCAGATTTCTTTACATCTATACCTTAGTAAATGAACGCTCTTAATAATACTTATTAAAAGGCATGACAAATCAAAGGCCAGATTAAATGTCACTGTTTCATAAATGTGTTGTCATTTTTTAAAATTAGAATACACTTGGTAACCACCGCCCACATCATAAATTCCTTTTACATTTCCTGTATTACCTAAACCACAACCAGGAAAAAAAAAAAATATATACATATATATATATATATATATATATAAATAAAACATTTGGGGGAGGGCTGAGGAAGCTTACTGAAAGCAGACTGATACAATCTTTACATGCCCTCTGCATTTCTATGTAAGAATAAGGAATAGTCAAGGGTTGAGGACATAAGAACAGAAAGCAAAAAATCATTACAATCACCATTTCTACCCATCACTGATACCATCACCATCACCATCACCATCCTCATTTTCATCATCATCTTACAGGGAACTCATGAAAGCAGTGAAGTAGGGTGGGGAAGACAAAGAAAACACACAATGTTATCTAACAGCAACAAATTGACATGCTCAGGAAACTCAGCCTGATTTCAAAAGCATGTAAAAATAACTTAGAACTTCTACTATCACATGGAAAATATGTGAGATCATTTATAATAGAATAATCTCAGGAGTGTTGAGATTTTTCTCAACTTCACACCTCTGAAGTACAAACAATTTCAAAACAAATTACCGTGTGTTCTTGGTCAAACTGTTGTTACATATTACCATTGTTATTCAGTTATTCAAGATAAACATAAATAATTACTAAAGCAAAACAGAAATAGCAAAAAATCTCTACAACTTAATGACTCTTACCTGTTCACTCTCCTAGGACATTTGTCTGGTTTAATATCTACCTCATAGAGGTAGACATCAATCTTTGGAATCTCAACTTGAAAACAGTTAGCCAGCAGTTTAATGGGTTTGCCCATGGTGCCATAGCCAGGTCTTCTGGGCACCATGAGTAGGGGCTGGGCCCCAACAGGTCCTGTCAGAAGGGGGAAAAAAAAAGAGTTATACTATTACAATCTGCATTTGATAACCCTGTCAACTGGAGGATGTTACAAAATGTGTGTGAGAACAAAAGCAAAGTAAATAAGAAGAAAAAAGGCAAATATTAACAAACTAGAAACAAAGTATAATAAAATGTTAGAAAAGCACAAAATACATTTGAAAAAATAAAATTGGTAAGTTCTAGGCAATACTGATATTTTTTAAGAGGAAGAAAAGGACTTATGTAACCAATGTTAGAAATGAAAAAATTGATACTCACTACAAATTCTGAGGACATTATAAATACTATGCCAATAAATTTTACAGTTTGATGAAACAAATTCCTAGAGAAATCCAATGACACATAAAAGTATATAAAAATCCAAAAAGTCCTGTTTAGGAATGTAAAATGGAGTATGTGGTTCCTCAAAAACTAAAAGTAAGCCAGGTGTGGTAGTGCATGCCTGTAATCCCAGCAACATGGAAGGCTGAGGCAGGAAGATGACAAATTCAAGACCAGCCTCAGTATTTTAGTACAAGACCCTGTCTCAAAATGAAAAAAAAAAAAAAAAAAAGGACTAGAGGTGCAGCTCAGTAGTAAAGCATCCTTGGGTTCAATACCAGTCCCCAAACAAAAAAACCCTAAAAGTAGAATTACCATATTATCAAGTAATTCTATTTTGGGGTATACATATACTCAAATTAATTAAAAGCAGAAAGAATTGAAAAAGATATTGGTATACACATTCACAGGAGTATGACTGACAACACTCAAAAGGTAGAAGTAACTGAAGTGCCCACAGATGCATGAATCATAAACTAAATGTGGTATATATACACAATAGAAAATTATTCAACCTTAAAAAGGAAGAAATTCTGACAAATGCTACAACACAGGTTAACACTGAGGACATAATGCTAAGTGAAATAGTTAAAAAAAAAAAAAAGACAAAAACTGTCATTCCCCTTATATGAAGTACTTAGAATACAATTTCATAGAAGAAAGAAAGCACAAGTGTGGTTGATAGAGCCAGACACAGTAGTGCACACCTATAATCCCTGCTATTCAGGAGGCTGAGGCAGCAAGTCCATGTCTTGAAATAAAAAACACAACTGGGGAGAGCTGGAGTTGCAGCTCAGTGGTAGAGCACTTGCCTTGCTTACGTGAGGCACTGGGTTTGATTCTCAGCATTGCATATAAATTAACGATTAAAATAAAGTTCTATAAACAACTAAAAAAATATTTAAAAAAAAAAAAAGCAAATGGGGGTGCTGGAGTTGTGGCTCAGTGGAAGAGCGCTTGCCTTGTATGGGTAAGGCACTGAGTTTGATTCTCAGCACCACATATAAATAAATAAAATAAAAGGTCCAACAACTGAAAAAAAAAAAGTGAATGGGGATATATCTCAATAGTAAAGTGCTTCTGGGTTCAATAATCTCAGTACAAAAAAAAAAAAAGTGGTCTCTAGGGTTATGGCAGGAGCTAATGGGGAGTTGTATAATGGGTACAGTTTCAGTTTTGAAAGATAAAAGAGTTCCAAAGATTGTTGGCCAATGATATGAAATATATTTAAGCATATCCAATTGTACATTCGAAAATGTTAAGATAGTAAATTTTGTGTATTTTGCCCCAATTTTTAAAAATGTCTATTATTAATTTTTGCTGAGGGCCATTGCTAAGTAAGAATGACACATGGCACGACCCAGGTCATTTGCAGTGTCATTGCATGTAAGGTGACCTTGCTCAAGGACCAGGGCGGATCCGGGTTTAGGGCGGTTCCAGGTTTAAGGTGTACCCTGCTGGGAATAGGGAGTATCCTGCTGCCTCAGGCGCGCCTGCTGAGTTCCCGTTGAGTTCTCGTTGAGTTTTCGTGGGATTCAGAGAGTGTTTGGGATTTTGCCCAGAACGTGATTGGGGCCCAGAACATGAATTCCCCCAGAACGTGTTTGTAGAGTGCTGGTGTGAGTTCGGGAATAAAGAATTGCTGTTTGAATCTACAAGGCTGTGAGTGGCTCGTGATTTTGTGCCCAGTCAGACTGCAGCAAATTTTTAAAATTTTCTAAAAAAAACTTTAACAATGCATTTTGCATGATATTAAATTTTTAGAGCTCAAAATATTGTAGCTTTGTTAATCAAAATTCAAACAAATTCAATTAATAAATAACTGTTAAGAATAAATTAAAAATTAAAAAGTCCTATAACTATCTGAAAAAGTTAAATTTACAATTATAACTATTTTTTAATATTTATTTTTTTGTTGTAGTTGGACACAATACCTTCATTTCACTTATTTATTTTTATGTGGTGCTGAGGATCGAACCCAGGGTCTCACATATGTGAGGCAAGGGCTCTACCACTAAGCCACAACCCTACCCAATTATAACTATTTTTATACATACAAAAAGACTGAAGATCCAGATGGTTTCTTTGGATAATTACATTAAACATTTAAGGAAAAGAATAACACCTATCTTATATAAACTCTTCCCAAGAATAGGAAAAAAGTAAATATACCGCAATTCAATTTATGATGCTAAAATTTTGATACTAAAACCTGACAAAAACATAAAAAAGTAAAACTATGGGCCAATCTTATTCATGAACACATATGCAAAAATCTGAACAAAATGGTAACAAATTAAAAGGAGCAATGTATAAAACAAAAAGGATGAATTTATATTAGGAATAAAAAGTTAATAATAAATGTTTATTCAATGTGAATAAAAACACATAAAGGGCTGCCCAAATCATTTGTTTTAAAATTTACTTTCATGTATTTTTAAAAATCTCCAAGAACATAATCTTTCCTGCTGTGTTACAGAAGATTCTACCTATGCTACAGACAAGGCTGGGGATGTAGCTCAGGGATAGAGGGCCCCAGTGTTCAATTCCCAGTACCAAAAATGGGGGGGGGGGGAGCAGAAAGAGTGGGAATACGGAATAACTGACCTTCCTTTATCTTATGAGTCTTGACAGGACCAAATTGGATAATGTATAACAGCTAAAATTTAGCTCTCAGTTATGTGCTAAGTGCTTTATATATATTATCTTATTATCTCATTTAATTACATACATTATCTCATCTCATTCAATTGAACCCAGGGGTACTCTATCACTGAGCAACATACCCTACCCTTTTTATTTTTGAGACAGGTTCTCAATAAACTGTTGAGGCTGGCCTCAAACTTGCCATCCCTTCCTGTCTCAGCCTCCTGCATTGCTGGGAGACTTCATTTAATCTTTAAACCAACCCTACAAAGGAAGAATCATTTACAGATTAAGGTAAACAAATGATATGCCTAAAGCAATATAGCTAGTTATTAGCAAAACATGGAAAATGTTTTTTGTGTTCCACTCCTTTGTGTTCCACTAATCTATCTATTCTTCACCAACACCAAAATCTCTCGCTTATTCTACCACTGTAGTAAGTCTTGAAGTCACATCATTTCAGTCTTCTGAGTTCTTTAGTTCTATGCCAAGAAGTGTTACGATCTGATTTAAAATTTTAGCTGTTCTATGAAAAAATTATATGTAGGAGTACAAGCAAGGACACCAGTTAGCAAGCTATTTAATAGTCTGGGCAAAGGCTAATGTTTACTAGGACTAAAGCAGCAGCAACTAGGAGTGATGTGGTGGTAGAAAAATATTTAGAAGGTAGGCCTGACAAGAATTGCTAGTAGATTAGATGTGGGATAAGAGAAAAAAGCATTCTTTAGGTTTTTTGATCTTAGTAACTGAAAGAAAAGTGTCATTTACTGAGAGAAGACTCAAGAGATAGCAGTAATTTTGGATAATAAATCAAGAAGAGTTTCAGGACATGTTAAGTTCAAGGTATCTATACAAGCAGGTGTCCAGCAGATATAAATGTGGACTTCAGGACAGAGATCCAGGCTGGCCATGTAAATGGCGGGTATCTTTGGCACATAAGTAATATTTAAAACCACTGGATTACTATATTACACTTTTTTGCTAATTTTTTCTCTATTATTTGCATCTTGCTTGGTATTTTTTGTACAAACTGACAAAAACCAATATTCTGTTTCACAAATAAGCAATGAACAGAACTCTTCAGTTACTAATAGAGGAAACACTGTCAATATAAGCATTATACTTTCAATGAAGCACACTTCATTCAGTTATTTAACAAATACCTATTTTACCCACTAGAGTTGAAAATGTAATTACAGAGAAATACAAAGCAGTATCTGGAATTTTTCTCTACCTCAAACTTTCCTTTCAGTAACTATAGTAAGCAATGTCAATTAACCAAACTAAATTTCAAGTACAAAACCATTTAATTTCAAACCATATGCATGGTCTATGTTGTTCACAGACCTAACAAATTAGTTGTAAGTCTGAAGTCAATAACAGCTTAGAGCAAATATGAATAATGAAAAATAAGCAGTGAATAAATCATTTTCAACTATAGCCTATTAACAAATTGGATTTTCACTGGGAACTTTTGTTTTTAGTATTCATAGAATACCTGTTTCAACAATTCTACTTCTAGGAATTTATCCAAAAGTATGTACTGGACCAGTATACAAAGACCTATGTGCTAGGATAATTACAAAAGTTTTATTCATAATAATTAAAATCTGGAAAAGGATATAAATACCACCAATGAGACTGATTAAATAATAAATAAAATTAAATAATATTAGTAAATGTATTATATTGCTACATAGATATAAATAAGGATATGGGAAATTTTTCATGATAATGACTGAGTAGAAAAAACATTTTAAAAATAAAGCCTAGGGGCTGGGGTAGAGTTCAGTGGTAGAGAATTCACCTGAGGCACTGGGTTCAATCCTCTCAGCATTACATAAAAATAAAATAAAAAGGACTGGGGTTATGGCTCCGTAGTAGAGCACTTGCCTAGCAAGTGAGAGGCCCTGGATTCAATCCTCAGCACCATGTAAAAATAAATAAAGGTATTGTGTCCAACTACAACTAAAAAATAAATATTTTTAAAAAGTAAAAAATAAAAT